TCTGAAGTTATAGCAAAAAAGAAAAAAAAAAAAANAAAAAAAAAAAAAAAAAAAAAAAAAAAAAAAAAAAAAAAAAAAGCAAAGTGAAAAAATTAATTTTTTTAATAAAAACGTCTTTATCTCCATAAATATTTACTCTAAATTTACGAAACTTTATGCAATTTTTAAAAACAGCAACTAAAGTATTCGATTCAAGTTACAACTTCATTTTCTGTCATCAAATTCTTTCTGTCTTTATTTTCTGTCATTTATTTTCTGTCATCATTCTGTGTTCAAAAATACTTGCTTTCTCTCGTAATTTATTGTAGGTTTTCCAAACCTCTGAAAGCTTTAAGTTTTATATCTAAGTATGAAAAATTTCATGAACTAAACACCTCTAAAGTAACAAAATAATCCTTTTATTTTTTGAGAAAATTAAAAAAAATTCCAAAACTTAAAGTGTCTCTTCCATTATTGTTGGGTATATATAGTGTATTTGATAAATTTACAACCAATAATGCCTTCGATTCGGAACCCCATACTTGTTTAGCTAGTGACCCATCATTCTTGTCGTTCAGTTAGAACGTACAGTGATAGCTTTTTCCGTTATATGCAGCATAAAATGTTCGATCTCCGGTTAAAAATCTGTACTTTTTTTGCAAATAAAGTTCGTCTAATCTATAAAGAAATCAAACTATTTTTATCAATGATAGAATATGTTGTTAAAGTAATTTTACGTTTGTGTTAAACATCCGTAATATTCAGCGATAACTTTTGAGAATTCGAATATGACGGGATTTAAGAAGATTATTTTCAAAATGTTGCTTGAAATTATGAATTTGTATCAATCAGTAATTGTTACAAAATTTATCGATGCCATGGTTTGTTTATATCATACAATAGATAGATATTTTCGTTATCATAAAAACATAATTGTTATTAAAAAGAAAAGAAGAGGGAAAAAATGAGAAATATTAACTATAAAAATATATAGATTCAAAAATATTTAAATAAGAGAAAATTTAATAAAAAGATGCAGCAAAAATCGAAAAAAAAAGCAAAAATATCTTACAGAAAAATTATGGCGACATATTTTACAGATTGCGACTACCCCCTTTCCATATTTTATATCACCAATAATCCGTTATGCAGCACTTGTGAGACGTAAATAAAAGTATAAGATCATATTTCAAAATCAAATTCCGTCGAAACAAACGTATGTTTATACAGAGAAAGTACGTTTTCGAGTCTGATTCCGCAACTTAATTAATAGTTAGCTCGAATTAATTCACATATTTGAGATCACCCCTTTGAAGCATTAAATTATGCACTAAGTTCTTGTGACAATCCGCTAATTAGAACAAAAGTTATTTAGGGTTACATATTTTTAATTTTGAGCACTAAGCTTGATAAATCGCATTTAGTGCTCTGGAATGCTTACACTTGCCAGATATTAACACAAATTATTTAGCATATTTGAGGTCATCCCTTTGAATTATTAAAATTTGCACTGAGCTCTCTTAACAATCCGATCATTAGAACAAAAACTAGGATGATATATTTTTCATTTTGCACATTTTACTTCAGAAATCATATTTAATACTCTTGAATGTTTGCACTTTCTGCGAAGTTAGCACGAGTTATTTAGCATATTTGAAGTTACATTTTAGAACCATTAAGATTTGCACTCAGTTCGTGAAAATCCAGTCATTAGAACAACAGTTAGATGATATTTTTTTAATTTTGCGCACTGTTCTACATTAATCACATTTACTACTCTAGAATATGTCGTTTCTGAAGAATCATCCTTTTGTTTATTCATTTTTTACAAGTTAGGTACGTTAGATTTAAGCTAATTTGAAAAACGTATTTTATGAACAAACAAACGTATTTTAACATTATTAAACGTACTATAAAATTTTAAACGTATTTTTCCTCCCGACAATGAATAACTCATAAATTTAGTTTCCTAGACTCTCGATTGTTACTCCAATTTAATCCCCTTTTATGCTGTAATATTACTAATCCCTTAATTTATAACCCGAAACTAAAATTATAGATAAATATTCTGAAGGTCTTAAGAACGAGGTTTATAGTTTTTTTTCTTGTAAATATCTTACTCAGACAAAATAGTAAAATGACAACTGTATATCTTAGATAAATTCTTCTATCTTGAACTCATAACTACCGTTTACTTACGGAGAAAAACCGAAGCGGTTTTAACAACAAAATGTTATTGCATCTCATCTAGTTTGTCAAAATAAGCATGGTATTCCGCTTGTTTTCTTTAAGAAGAATATTATCTAACTGAAGATAAAACAATTATCGTGAACTTCACAGTTTTATTTATGTTCCATAAATAATTTTTTTTCAGTTTTACAGAAACTTATTTAAATTAATTCAACTCTTTGGCATAAGCAATTTTGTTAAGAAGCATATGATTTTTTTTAAATGAATTTAAACTTGTACATTTTTGAAGTCTGTGGTCGAAATTATTTAATACAGTGCCGACAAAACGTTTTATAAATGTTGTAAATCATAAGTTTTATAGAAACTTATTTAAATTAATTCAACTCTTTTACATACGCAATTTTGTTAAGTTTCTTAAGAAGCATATGATTTTTTAGAAATTAATTTAAACTTGTCATTTTTGAAGTCTGTGGTTGAAATTATTTAATACAGTGCCGACAAAACGTTTTATAAATGTTGTAAGTCATAAGTTTTATAGAAACTTATTTAAATTAATTCAACTCTTTTACATACGCAATTTTGTTAAGTTTCTTAAGAAGCATATGATTTTTTAGAAATGAATTTAAATTTGTAAATTTTTGAAGTCTGTGGTCGAAATTATTTAATACAGTGCCGACAAAACGTTTTATAAATGTTGTAAATCATAAGTTTTATAGAAACTTATTTAAATTAATTCAACTCTTTTACATACGCAATTTTGTTAAGTTTGTTAAGAAGCATATGATTTTTTAGAGATGAATTTAAACTTATACATTTTTGAAGTCTGTGGTTGAAAATATTTAATACACTGTCGACAAAACGTTTTATATAAAAACAGCTTTATATAAAACTTTTGTAATTTTTTATATAAAAGTTGTAAATCATAAGTTTTACAGAAACTTATTTTAATTAATTCAACTCTTTTGCATACGCAATTTCGTTAAGTTTGTTAAGAATCATATATTTTTTTTAGAAATGAATTCAAACTTGTACATTTTTGATCTAAAATTGAGAAGTCAAAAAATACATTGAGTAGACATCAAAATTTGCATTACATTACATTGAATTTACACACAAAAATATTAAATCATTGATTGAAATTAAATTAAAATTAAATTTTTGTATATACAATTTATTAAATTATAAGTTAATTTATTTATTTATATAAAAAACATAAAATTTAATAAATTATTTATTTATTAAATTGTAAGTTTTTGTATACACTATTTATAAATTTCCGCACACACTTTCCCTAATAACAAAACTGACTAAGTTGTTATAAGCCAAAGATAAAGTAGTTTTACTTATTAGGAGATAGATGGATCAAATAGTTTGCGAAATACTGCTCTAGAGCTAAATTTTGAATTTTAAGGTACACAAATTATTATTATTTATAAAGTTGAACAAATGAAACGAATTTAAAAAGAAGTTGCATTCCTAAATTTCTATTTCTCAAGAGTTATTCAACCGAATTCTTTCAAATTTTAGATTTTTCATTTGAAATTGCATAGTTTTAAATGATCTAAAAATTTGCATCCTTTACAATTCAAAATTCTTCAACCATCAACAAACTAAATAAAAAAATATTTAAAAAATTAAATAAATAAAAAAAACATTATTATTATTATTTATAAAGTTAAACAAATGAAACGAATTTAAAAAAAAGTTGCATTCCTAAATTTTTATTTCTCAAGAGATGTTCAACCGAATTCCTTCAAATTTTAGATTTTTCATTTAAAATTGCATAGTTTTAAGCGATCTAAAAATTTGTATCCCTTACAATTCGCAATTTTTCGACCATCAATAAATTAAATAGAAAAATATTAAACAAAATAAAAAAAAATATTAAATAATATTAAAAAATATAAAAAAAATTTAAAAAATAAATAAATAAGAATAAAAAAATTTATTTAAAACTATTTTTTGCATAGTTTCTAAATAAATGAAATTTTCCAGTATAATTATATGAAAAGAGTTTTAAATTTGCTTCTAAGGCTACCGAAATATAGCGTAATACATATAAAGAGGAATTAACATTGAAGGGTCCAGAATTTCTCATGCTATATTTTCTAGATTGCGTCTTTAATTCAAATCCGTTGAAAAAAGGTATGTTTATTCAGAAAAATACGTTTTTCTTTTACGTCTGCTTCCATAACTAAATTTACAGTTAGTTCTAGTTAATTAGCATACTTGAGGTCAAATTTTTGTACTATTAAGAATGGTACTTAGTTCCTGAAAATCCAATCCGACAATAATTATTCAGGACGATATCTCCTTTTGATTCATTTTACCTGCGTTATCTGGATTATGCATTTGCTCTTTGGGGTTAGACTGCATTTAACTAAAAATAATAATATTTTGAATTTGATTTGATTAAAAAAGCAATAATAAAGAATATTAGGACTAATATTTATAATAATTGATTGTATTGATCTGAGTAAATTAACATAAAAATTCTCTGTCGATATATCTGCAACGGCGCTTAATTCTATATATAGTAAAAAATCAATACAATATTTTTCATTCCTATCAGAAATTTCTGTGAAGATTATAAAAATCAACGTAATATTTTTTATATTTGATTTTCAAGCTAGAGTTTTTGAATTTTCAGCTCTTATCACCTTTGATAGAAATTTTTGTGCAACGGAATTTATTTTTTAAGTGAAGGTAAAATTGCAGCACTGCAAAAGTTCTCATTCTTTGAACAAGTGCGCAAATCTATTGGAATGACGTCACAGTCGATGGCCAATGAGGCATATTCCGCCAGAGAGCGCTGCTATCGTGTTGTGTTTATGCTCAACCAGCTGTCTGCTGCCGAATGGTTGTTATTAGAACATGGCGCGTAATAGATGGTGGAAGTTGGAGAAGTTAAGTTTCGTTTGTTTATTACTCGTGTTTAGCGTGTGTTGTGTTTATAGTGAACAATCAGAACAACTGTCTACTCGTTCGCCAAAATCATTAAAAGCTCGCACTATTGCTCATAATCTTAAACATGCAAATAGAACTTTAGGAACTAGTACTTTTCATTTAGAAGGTGTTGACCTACGTTCGAAAACTTTTTTAGCTTTTACTAGCGAGGAAGGTGCTACTGGGACTCCATGTAATGAAAGTTATTTTGTTTTAAAAGATGTATTGATGACATCTTCTGGAGATATTCAGGTAAATGCTTCTGAATATTCTTTGCTCACAACTTCATGGCATCTATGCATGCGACAACATCCACCACTCAATGGGAAATGGATTCATATTGGAAAATATGAAACATACCCATCGTCAAAAATTAAAAAAAGAAGTAAAGAAAAAATGTAAGTATCCGCACTTCATGTGGTAATATTATTTAATTCATTTGGGAATATTGCTCTTATGAATGTTAATTCAAAAAGGTTCTGTGTATCAGACTAGTTTATATTTCACTGTTTTTAAATAATTATTGATATGCCTAAAATATACTATTTAGTTTTTGATACGATATTGATTTCTGTAAGTTTTTGCATTTAAAACACAGCTATTGCAAGATATGAATTAGTTTAAACTAGTGATCTAGTATAATGGCAGTTCCAGCAAAACATTTAATCTATATTGATTTAAAGGACAAATCTTATTTGCAAAAATATTGTTAAGATCTTTAATTTCTCCGTTTTAAATACTGCACATTTATTTTTGCATTTGAAACATAGCTACTGCAAGATATGAAATAGTTTAGACTAGTATTAGTATTATGGCAGTTTAAACAAAAATTTTGATCAATTGATTTAAAGGGCAAATCTTATTTGCAAAAATATTCTTAATGTCTATAATTTCTTCATTTCAAATATTGCACTATTATTTCGTGAAACAGTAGCATGGGTTCAGTTCTAAATTATATTCTAATTATTTCGATATTCATTCTATAAAGATAATTCAGAGCATTTCTTTCTCAAGATCTACATTTATCTTTCTTAAGGAAAGTGCACAACTAAGTATAAACAGAAATCTTTATAATATTTAATTTTAATTTCTATCTGAAGGCTTAGGTTGAGTTTCAAATGTTTTGGTATTTAATCAATTTGCAAATATTCTTTTTTGTAATTATTTGCTTTTTTTTACTGTAATGCAATTTATAGGTGTATAATATATAAACTATTAATATTACTGTGACTATTTTAGAACTTTTATTATTTAGTATTGATCTGATTGTTTTAATAGGTTGTTCTAAGTATTATATCCAAATATTATCTGGTCATAAGTTTTATTTCACATTTTCTAACATTTAGAAACTAAAATTTAGTCTTATTAGTTTATTATGATGCAAAATAAAAATATGTAAAACTTGCCATTTAATTGTATTTATATGTTCTGAAAGTTTTATAAGCTTTAGTGTTTCAATATTAAATTTGCCTCATGTGTTTTTTCAAATTTCAGTGTTCTAGCAATTTCTCTTTTTTTCTCTAAATGGCTTCCTATTTTCGAATTTAGGAAAAACAGCTTTTCTCAGTTGTGTTGTGTTATTTTCCTTTTGTTTTTTACTTGTGTGTGTTTTAGAACTGTTTTAAATGCGCTATACCTTGTATATTTTCTTGTCCCATATAATAATTAATTAATAGTTTTTTTTTCTCATATTCATTTTCTAGTTCTGTTCTAAGGATTCAGTTGTTAGGTTGTGAAATTTTAAAATACTATGTATTAATAACATTTTATGTAGCACAACCTCCGTTAACTTATTGTACTCCAATTAGTTTTCTCTTATGTGGGCTAAGTATAAAATTTCTAACCATGTTTATCTATGGAGGTTAACTCTTCTATATCATTACTTTTCAGTTCAATGTTATTGTATTTTGCAACAAAAAAGTTAACTTCTCTGTCAATTGCAAATGGAATTATTTATGCTAGTTTGTATTTTATGTTTCTTGGAACATTTCAATATTTGTATCTGGGTGCATAGATTTCATGCACCGACGTTTTGAAGTGTCACTACCTGAGTTTTATACATGGTATCTATTTAAAAAATGTGGGTAGTAGCTTGCTTCTATTTTACTATTTGCATTTGTCCTCTTTTGTGATTTCGTTTCGTAATTTCTCCCATGCTATTTATTGGTTTTTACCAAATTTTGTAACCGTTTCCGCATGATACAGCAAATTTTGTTATGGAAAATAAAATTATAAAACTACTGCAATTTTTTTTCCTTCCTATCTTCTAAATATGGATATGCCCATCTAACGAGTAAACTTGTTTTAATAATCTGAAAATAATTATTCCAATGCTGACAGATTTAAGTGTCTTTAAATACCTAAGATAAATTCAACTTATTTTGCGCTCTTTTATAATTATGAAGTGTTTATTTTGTTGAATCCGATAGACCTAGGAAAAAGGGCGAGAATTATTTCTTTGAAATTTCTATTAAAGATTTTGTTTAGTGTTAACTATAATCTCGAAAACTGTTAATTGACTCAATAGTAGTTTTTGTAGTTTCATTGACTTAATAGTAGTTTTGAAGTAGTCATTGTAGTTTTAGGTACCCTAAACAAGATTTCTTTCTTTCTTGCTTCTATAACTAATTTAAAAAAAATTCACATGTTTAATTTTCAGGTTAATTCTTGCGCATTTAAATAATTGACACAGCATGTTCTCTTTTGCAACCTTGCATTATTTATATTATAATTTATTTATTACGCTTTATGGTTCATTTCATTAAAATGCAGCATAAAATTTAGTTCTGCATTTTCCTATTTGAGCTAATTTTGAAAGAAACACATGCATAAAGTAAAATTATTATTTTTTTTGTCCATTGCTTGTTATCACTTACATGCAATCTTTTTACTGAGCAAAGAAATCAACTTTTTGTTTTGAAAAGAGGCTATGCAGGTTGTTAAATTATTCTATTACGCTTGCATATAGCTTTTGCTAGATTTCAAATGTCATTCTATTTTTCTTGGATTATGGTGAGATTCATGGATTTAATGGATTAGATTCTATTTTTCATGGATATTACGAGCAGGTTATGAAGGCTATTATATCGAGAGAGAATTGCATTTATCATTGCATCTTATATCTTGAGCCACAATGACTCGGTGATTAAGACGCTGAACTATCATTGTGAGGAACGAGGCTCTGCTCCCCAGTGACGTCTCGTCCGGGACGATAGGTCCCAGCATGTCTGGGAAATACAGGCGCAGTTCTGACCACATTGCCACAATCATGCCGTTAGTCACAAAATTGTGGAGCTTCCTCCAGGAACCCCCTTGCCCATTGTGGGGATGCGTTACTTAATGTATCTTAGCAGTGATCTTTTTATTGGCCTTATTCTATTTTTAAAAAAGTAATAGGCGGGAAGTATGTCTGCATATTCGTTTAGATAAGTTATTAGGAATAGTTTAAGAAGCTATCATCTGATTTACAGACAATCTATGTCTCTCTTCAGCAGTGATTTTGAGGTGGATTGAGATGTGTAGCAATAACATTTGAAATAGAGCTCCAAGTCAGAGTTTGTCTATAAAAAGGACTGACCTCACCAACAGACTGCTAATATGAGAAGCATCTCTTTCTCTTGCCCGTCTGAGACAAAGCCATTCTTAAATATTGACCCTTACTTAAAATAGATAAACCTTGTAACCATAGCCTCCAGAAGTATGGCAAGGGAAGTTCTTTCCATAGACAGACTCTAGCGAGGCTGGTAAGATTAGTGATTTGGGCATGGACTTAATATGTACATAATTTCTTGACTAGCTTACTTCTGGTTACCCATCATACTTGCTGCAATGAATCTATTTAATTATTATTAGAGTCTATATTAATTCTAATACAAATATTAATCCTTTGAACCTCAGTGGATAGGCAGTTGAGAAATGATGCTTTAGTTGGGATCCAACTTTTTGGTGGTTGTACTCTCAATATTGTTGTTGCACATTTCATTCCTTCTAAATTTGATACTATGCTCACCTGTTATTTTCCTCATTAATTTGAGTGATTGTGCTGTTATTGTTCTTATGGTTTCATTTGGAAATTTGTATTTTTTGTAAGCTGTTGTGCTTTCTTTTAGATGTCAGTGTATTATGGATTGGGAACAACATCATGAAAAACTTTTAATTAAAGCAAGATTTATAGATAAAAGGTTTTTTTCTTTAATTTATTTTAGTTCTGGAATTATTTTCTCGGTATTCTTTTTTATTCTTTTCTATTATTTTATTTTTCTGGAATTCTTTCTTATTTATATTTTTATATTATTTGTTAGTTTGAATTCTTACAGTCTTAATTTTGTTTATCTTATTATTTTATTGTTTATTGTGCTTTTATTTATTTTGAAAAGGAAATAAAGACTGTCACTCAACCTTAAAGGTTTTTAAGCTTATACTGATAAAATATTTTAAGATGGTGCTACTTTTTTTTCTTTTATGTCTCGATAGAAAAAGCTGGTACTGTGTAGTAAAATCCATATTATGTGCACCATAACTGTTGCTTTTTTTATTTACATCTTATAAACGTTTAGATTTTCCTAAGAAAATGTAAACTTTTATTTGTAAATAGTTTAACAAATGGCCTTCTGAAGAGTTGAGATAAAAGGTTGAAATTGTAAAAAAAGGAAAAAAAAAGTAGTTTGAGTTCTTTTATTAAACATGAACATATATCTTTTGCCTTGAATGGCCTAAGGTAGTTTACAGGGCCTCATTTAGAAAAGGGGGAGGGCTGGTTGTTGCTTTAAGCTACATTTACTTGTTGTTTAATTATGAAGTGTTTTCAAATTATATATCACATAATTACTGTTTTTGTACTTAACTTTTTTTTTCTGCTGTTTTAAAATTTTTAGCAGAAAAATTAAAAGATTCGTAATTTTGTTTTTTTCATTGGAGTATAAATTATATTTTTATTTGTAATTTTAAACTCTTGACTACACTTGATGTGCTTATAAGAGATCTATTCAGTTGAAATTTAATTGAGTATAAAGATATATTTGTATATTTGACTTATAGAAGTTTAGTATGGACAACATTGGTTTTTATTTTTTGTTTAAACCAGTTCCTGTTGCTAGGAATTATTTGTGAAACTTTAAAATGTATTTATTCATACTTGCTATAAGAAATCATTTATTCACTGAAAGTTAGTACTGCTAATTATGGTATGGAATAATTCAATTTGGTTAACTAGTTGAGTTGGATGTAGAGTTTAATGGAACACCATAATCGTCTTTACTGCTCCAAATGTAAGTAATAATGTGTCATTTAGGTAAGCTGATCGAATGACTTTAAATGCCAAGTTAGAAGGAAAAAAATTCAGAGTGATCACTGGGTTTTGGGATCTGTGTTTACCTAAAAAGAAAAGGTCAGTCACTTA